GAAGAGCGCCCCTACTATTTAATACCTCACGAGAGCTGAGAAGCACCCCTACTAAATCAATACCTCACGGGAGCTGAGGAGCGCCCCAACCAATCAAAACCTCACAGGAGCTGGCGAGCCCCTCTATCATTCAATAACGCATAAGAGATAACGAGCGCCCCTACCAGTAAATATCTAACTAGAGCTGGCAAGCGTTAAATAAATGTAGCAGAAGATGATTGATAGGCATCAGAGGAAACCGTCGACGCTGTCGAGCATCAAAGAAATACAATAAAGTGAATATTAGAAAATTACTCGCGTTGGCGAACGCTATATAAAAACGTAAATTTTCCATCAGCAGCAAAGATGAACAAAGAAACAGAAGTTCTCGCTATCGGAAATCTTATACAAACGCACTAAATCATTCGCTATCCTAACATCATCCTCAAAACATATCCTATTTCAAGGACCCTAACACAACCATCATGATACTTTTAGAAAATGTGGTGTCCTTATGAGCACTTTGTATAACTCTTTATACAAAGAGATATACAAAGGGGGGCAACTGTAGACACCACATTTTGTCCGGAGCAACTATCCTACTCAAAATTCGGAAGAATATTCCATGTAAAATTAGAAAAGAAAACCCAAGTGAAAGTTTAGATAAGGTTGGTTGAGATTAGCGGTGGCGAATCAATAAATACCAACGTTTTCCAAGTCTTTCTTTCTATTCATTTCGAATATTTGTACTAGGTAGGATTAGCAGTGGCTAATGGCTACCAAATTCGCTTTATTTAGAATAGCAATAGTATGCCGTCACGACTTATACCGGTATTATTGTTAACGATTGGTGATATAGGTCTAGAAATTGGTTGAATGGGGTATTGGTCACGATTCATAACTAAGAATAATTTACTTAGAAGTTGGGATATTGGTCACGATTGTAGTTAACGAATTGGTTTGAAATAATCAATTGAATGATTGAGTAATACATACAATGATCATCTAATTCTAAAGGCAAGGACATAAATAAACAAATGTGTAATTACATATTACAATCCGTGACATTTAAGATACACCTTGTAATTATACAATTAAAAAAAATAAAAAAAAATAAAAATTCTGCTTTTGGGCACCAATCAGAATTGGGGGCTTAGCCAATTAAGGCTGTTTGGACCCCCATTGATCATCATTTTGGGCCGGAAACGGACTAGGGACCTGCAAACAAAAAAAAGAAAATGTTAGAAGAGCAACCTAAAATAAAAACCCACAACCCAGGCCCATATTCAGGCCCAATTGACTCTGGTCAACCCTGGTCAACCTGGTCAACCTGGGTCAACCCAATCAAGTATGGTCAGCCCGGGCCAACTCTGGTCAACCCCGTCAACCAAACCCATCATTCTTATCTAAAAGAGCAGCAGAGTAGCAGAGCAGCAGAACAGCAGAGTCTCTGCCAAATCTAAAAAAGAAGATTTCGGCCACCTCCTCCAAGAACCAATCCCAAATTGCCAACAACATAAGTGGCTAAGGCTACCACTTCAAGAGCAAAGGAGGAGCAGCCAACACACAGGTATGAACAGTAAAAGGCAGCCATATATAAGGAGCTGTTTTACCCCCAAACAGGGGGGGAGGACCAACAACAAAAAACAGACAAAAAGGGAGACAAAGAGCATTAAAGAGCACTAAGCACCAAAAAGACAGAAGCACTAAGGATCCAAAAAGGGCAGGGAGTCAGAAACAGCAACGAGCCATCACCATCAAAATCCACTCAATCACAACACAGGTTGGTATTCTCTACACCCCATTAACCGTACAAGCATCCTAGTTATTTATACATCCATGTAGAAGATCTACTTAACATATGATACTTCTAAGTTTATAATCCATGGCTGAGTTGCTTAAGTTTGTATGTAAAAGGGGGTATTATGAAATCCTGATCTTTGTGATATGTATGTTTCTCTTTACCATTCATTTTTAATTTTTGTTACATACCACAAGAGACCGCTTCCATTTATAGTCAACATACAATAAATTAGCTTAAATTATTCCCTGTTTTTCTAGCAAGCATGATTCAGGTTAAATTGTTAGGTGAACTTAGCAATAATATCAACTAGGCTAACCCGTTTACTCATTCAACACATAAAAAATCCAACAATCTATTCAAAACATAAAAATAGGACCCAAACTAGATTTTTGAGAGAGTATTTTAAAATACCTCATTTGATGGTTGTAAGGGCGCCCTTTTAACTCAATTACCAGATTTGGTAATCACGAAGTTCTCATTTGATTATTATTTTGTATGCTAAATACAATAAAACACTCTCATTAAAAGTCTCATTTGTTACTAATCAGTATTAGCCCTTTTAATCAAGTTGTTTAACCAATCGATAGTCAATAGCAGTAGCTATGATGTCGTATTACTTTTAGGACCATTATAGATTGTCGAATTTTAATAAAGCAAGTTCACCACCATATCCAAAACCAAACATTAAGGCTAAACAAACCTAGGAGGTCTAACAAAATTTACTTTCACAACACCAGAAAGTTCTATAAACAATCATAACGATAATTAAACCACCCATTTTAGGTTTAGAAGGGGTATCACCTAGTTTCCTTCAAATTGAATAAGATCTGCAAAATTAGGAAATCGAGAGTTAGAACCCCAAAAATGATAATAGGTAAAAAACGAGAATAAAAAAATAAAACAAACAACTTACCCCCAAACAAAACCCTCGCCGTCGGTTCTGGCGCTGGCCGCGCCGCCGGCGACCGCCGCTCCTCCCTTCTCTCGGCGGAGGTCCAAATAATAAAAAAAACATAAACAAAAAAAAACAAAACAAGTTAAATCCCAATCTCATCCATTAAATCCAATGAAAATGGGCATGCATGTAGGAAAGAGCTTACCAGAGGGTAAGATCTCGTCGTCGCCTCTGCTCCAACTAGAAAGAGTAGATCGAGATTATTAGAAAGTAAATCAAGAGTCCCTCCTCGGTTTTGGATCGGTCTCTGAAAGAAAAGCAAGAAATAGGTTTAGAACATAGAAAATCTTAAAATCGAAATCGAAAAATGGTAAAAATCTTACATGCAAGCCAAAAAAAACCTAACCTTTGGAAAACCCTAGTCGTCATCGTCACTGCTGGTGTTGGCAGCGCTCATCCTCAGTCGTCGCCGCCGCCGCCGCTTCTTTTCCCCGTCACCACTCGTTTCCAGAATAAGGAGAAGGGGAGATAGATTAAATATGAAGAAGGCTCATCTCCTTTTCTCGATTTACATGAAGAACGCGAGAAGGAGAAGATGTAGATGGCGGCGTTGTTCGGATGGTTAAGTGATTAGGGTTTTCGTTTCGAGGTAGGGATTAGCGGGAGATAGGGAGGCGAGAGACGAGGGAGGAGAGGGATCGGCGGTTGAGAGGCTAGAAGGAGAGGGAGAGCAGCGCCGGCGGGTTTTGATTAGGCTAGGGTTTCGTTTTTTTGTTTCGGGAGAGGAAGAGAGATCGGCCGAGAGAGAGAGAGGGATGAGCGGCCGCCGCTAGCCTTAGAATACGATTAGGGTTTTTTTTTTGGGTCCAAAGAGATGATTTTATACTCACCGGTAAATGTCGATTTTGCCCCTAGGGTTTCTCGCAAATTACATGTCCTGCCACCGCGTTTTCGTGAAATTACTAGGATGCCCTTCCCCCTTCTCTGCATCAAAACGAGAAAAATTAAAAATTTCTCCACCAGCGCGTTTCGAACCCACGTCCTCCGGTTCAAACGCGGGAGTGGTCTGGCGTTTTAGCCAGTTGGGCTGCTGGCCCTCATGCGTCAATATTATAATCCCGTATAGTTTTATTCATTTAAAATCCTTAATACGAAATGAAGAATTGCGGATTAAGTTTATCTCGTTTCTTTCCTAATATATCAAAACTCCTCTTAATAATTACAATTATTATATTATCTTTTTGTAATTTCATAATACCAACTTAAATTTTACTAACAATAAATTTTGATACGAGAACCACGATCAATGGAATGTGGTAATAATTTTATATAAAATTTTCAAAGTCCTAACGAACTACGTGGACTTTGATCCCGTCTTACGGGTACGTAAGCAACCGATAAGGTTCGAGTCCAACTAACCAATTAACTTTATCTTTTACGTCAGTGGACGTATAATTAAATTACAATTAATACGATTTAATTTCTTAAATAGTCCAGTGGGACCCTAAAAATTGAAAAATTTTACTAAAATACACCCAACTCGCATAAAAACTTATCGACTTAAGTAGTACCGATTTAGGGCGTTGTGGGGGTGTTGCTTAACTTCCCCACACGTAACCGTACTCCCGAACCCAGAACTTTATTTTCGCAGACCATGCCTCGGTTCTGACACTAAGGTTAGAGCCGATTTGAAGAGTGTTCGATCCACTCCAAGTAAGATCGATGGCGACTCCCAAAAATGCCGACGCGACGACATTCGGACCCCCCCCGGACGGGACGGTTTCGACACCATCCATATCTTGCATACCAACTTTAAGAAAAAAAACAAACAATTTAAATACATATTAGTTGCAATGAAACATAATTTTACTTAATACAAAAAATTCCAAAAATGATTGTACTAACTGCATCAGCATCCACGAACTCGCGATGAGGTCGGCTATCAGTCAGTATCTGTGGGTGTGATTGCCTAATGTACCACCCCAAGTAGTCGTCAGCAACCTCCCATGGTCTACGTCATACCGGAGTAGAAAAAGGTCCAGATGCCCACAATGTGCCTCCAGGTTGTTCCACCATGAATCATAAACAAACTAGTAGCTAAGAGAGTATCCAATCATGGAAGCGGGTCGACTCACAACAAGCGGACGCTCCGGCTGATACGATATACTCTGCATGTAGCCTAACTCTCGGAGGCATCTAGTGGGATCATATGGCTCTACCATCTCTGCAAATCTGATCATGCCCTGATACAAGGTACGTCTCACGCTCAAATGAGGCCTCGGACCATAAGGAGTTCAAACAACCTGTTGCGGGGTCAAACTGTCAATCGCCTGACGATAATAAGCTAGCATACTGTCCCAGCATCTCCAACCTCTTCACGAACAAGTTGATAATAGAAGAAACGCGGTCCTTACTCTTATCTATGAACAGTGTGGACCCCAGCAGCAGAAGAAGGTAACATTGAGCCTCCCTAGTTGGCGGACCAAACTCCTGCAAATGAGCCAAAGCTGCCACACCCAACAAACCATGCCCTCTGTACCACATAGAATCTCTGGCAACCTCTCCAACATGCTCCCCCTGCCCCAAATCTGCACGATCCACGCCCAATAGTGCTCGCATGTCATCCTCTAGTGACATCTTCTCCAACTGCCTCGGATCCGTTGCCATCGCCTCTCCCACAAATGAAATGCCAAGGATGTGAACCACGTCGTGAAGGAGGATTGTCATCTCTCCAAATGGCATGTGAAAGGTGTTGGTATCCGGCTGCCACCTCTCCACAAATGCCAACATGAGAGTAGTGTCCAGCTCGCTCTGAAAGGTGATATCTGCGAGGTTAGCAAGGCCCGATAACTCTATGGTACCCCTCTCGTAACGCTCTAGAACGTGCTGAAATGTCAAACTCCTATCGTAGCAAGTGATCACCCCTCTATCAGCCTACCTTGTGTAAAGACGGTGGGCAACGTGCACAAGAAAGCTACGGAGCAAACTCCGGTCGCTCGGCCCTCCAACACACGGTCCTCTAAGCTCCCACCCCGCTCCCACATCAGCATTACCACTCTAACCCTCACCGGGCTGTGGAGCTCTATAGAAACGACCCACATGGTCTATATAAATCCCAGTAACGGTGTGTGACGATCCGATGGCGGCACCTCTATCTCTAATCAGTCTGTCTCGTGGAATGAGATCCTCAACAGCATCCGACTCATACTGCTCATACTCGTTGTCAATCTCGTCTGAAGGCTCCGACGGTGAACTATGTTGATCCCTCGTCCCAAAGGTATGACTGGAACTACCTCCACTACCAACCATACTAGGCAACTGAAAATCAAACTCAGGAAAGCCATCTGCCCTTAATCTCATCGAGTGTTGTAGCTGATGTGGCATTGGCATTGGCAGTGGTTGTGGCTCATGCTCAGGCTCTGACGGCTCCCCCAACCTATCTCCACGCTTTGACTTCTTTTTTCTCGTAGTTATACTAATGTTACGCCCAAAGAATTTACTCAATTTCTTTCCTGATCCTCCATCATCACCAGCCGACGCCATCTCTAACATAGTAAATAATTATATATTAATTTCTTATAATAAATAAATTTTGGAGCAATTTGTTCAATTTTTTATTATTATATACTAATTATGATATATACAACTTATTAACTAATTAATTTAGGTAGATAGTTATTTTACTAGATGCGATAGATAGTTATTTAACTAGTTATTTCAACTTACTCAATTACTTAACTAAAATAGGATACTACAGGAAGAAGAAAAAAAACGATTTAGAGGCTATGGGCATTTGTCTCCGTAAGCCATATATGTGCCGCTGAAGCCTTTTCCAGACACATAATTATGTGTTGTGGATGCTGTTGCCGGAAATTACATATAGCGGCAAAATATAGCGGCAGATATAGCTGGGCCGCAAATTGGATGTTTAAAATCTTATACTTTAGTGATTTACCTACAATCTGCAAAATTGTCAAACTCTTTTAATGACACATCTAAGGTAGTTGAATTCCACTGGTGAATTAACAAGTTGAAATGAGAGGAAATATACCTTTAGATAAATATTATTTGTAGTCATAACTTATCGGTAACAAAAGGCAAGTTGAGCTAAGTTGAAGTACTAGTAAGAAACAAAGGTTCAAATAATCAGAACATTAAGGTTACCAGACTCTGCTGTCCTAAAATATGCATAATCTTGATACCTGAAATACTTGGTGTTGAAATTTATAAACAAGAAATTCAGTTGAACGACCTTGCATAATGAATTACTAAAACAAAAACTCTACATCAAACCTCCTGATAAGAAAATCAAAGTTTGGAAGCATAGTATAAGTATCATAATGATGCCACATACTCGCTATAAAATGCTGCAATTTTCCATGTCTTGCTTTTATGGAGTTTTGCAGAAGGTCTAAACTAGATTTTCGGACTCACCAAAAAATATATGCTCTGAAGGATTCAAGTTACAGAAACAGAGTTCATATTTTCAATGTTAAACCTAGTTAAAGCAAAAAAGAAAAGAAAAAAACAGTTCATGCAATTAAATTTTGACATCAGTGTACTGAACTTTTATCACAATTCACAAGAACTATTGAGTATAAGAATTGACAGGTGTACCCAACTTTCCATCACAATTCATAAGAACTATTAAGTATAAGAATCAAAGATTCTACCGCATTAGATGTCAGCGTTTAGACAAGAAAATGTTCTCTGACTTCTTCAATTCTGGAAGGCATGTGTACGAACGAACATATATGAAGATAACAATAAGAGATTTGGGGATAGCTGGGGAGGGGCATATGAAGCCATGGATCAATCATACAGGATAAAAGGATTCAATTCAAAAAACAAGAAAAAATAAATAATTGATGAAGAACCATAATTGAAAGAGTCATACACCATGATCAAAACGACGATCTCGATCTGCATCGACATCCAATGCTAGTCGTTGAAAACCTAATTTTCCTACAAGAAATAGCAGTTATTGAGATCTAATGCAACAATAGGAGAATGTGCAAGCTTAAGGTAAGGGGACGGGAGCACAGAAAACCCTAAAGTTCAAGAAGAATTGGATTGGATTGGATTGGATTGGTGATTCCGTAGATTTTATCGCAGAGGACTTGAAGATGATGGCAAGGCTTATCTTCGGGGGTACTAGACTTGTATGTATGAAGGAGAAGAAGAAGAACAAAGAAGCTAAATTGAGGGTTTTGATGGGAGTGGAAAGGAGCTAAATTGAGGGTTTTGAACAAAGAAGCTAAATTGAGGGTTTTGATAGATAATTATTTAACTAACACATTATATGATTAAAAATTATATACTTCTTATTCAACTAACAATTATATACTAATTAATTTACTAACAATTGAATTTAAAATAAATATAATAAATATTTAATTAAACGGAACCAGTCGAGACTTGGTCAGACCGGCTCGACCAGGCCCAACGAACGATGTCCGAGTATCGGGGCATGTCCGATGCCCGCAAGCAGACGGAGAAAAAAAATTAAAAATTTACCTTTCGATGACAGCGACGACTGCAACAGCGGCGAGAGGGAGCTCCAGTGGATTGGATCTCAGGAGGTTGCCGGCGTCTGTGGTCTGTGGCTGGCAATGGAGGTTGCAAAGTGGCTGGCTGCAGTTGTGATTGGTGGCGAAGGTCGAGGCTGGGGGGCGGAGGGAGCCGCGACGGTTGAAGATTTTGGGATAGAAGGGAAGGGAGGCGAGGGGTTGGGTTGGATTGGATTGGAGTAGATAAGTTTAGGGTTTTAAATTATAGCAGGGGCAAATTCATCATATTTTTTGTAAATATGGGCGACAAATAATAAAACTATGGACGACAAATATCAATTAATCTTATATTAGCTTTATATTAGCTTCAATAATTACCGGTGAGAAAACAAGTATCATTACCGACTAAAAGTTTAAAACAAGTATCATTGCACCTAGCCACTATCTGATAAGATATGAGGATTGACCAAAATGGTTACCAAAATGGTTGTAAGCAAAGCAAACACTTGTATGAGTTTGTCGAGTATTTATGGTGGTTGGATTAATCTCGAACATATTTATCTGGATTCTAATGATAAAAAAGTTTTCCCATTGGCCTAATGAATCAGCTAAGGGCTACCAAAATATAGCACGAGCCTTTCTTTAGCTGAGGTTTCTCTGCTCCTATCAGTTTGTCATCAATGTAGGTTATGGTTTGATCTAGGCTCACATATTCTCTTAAATTGTTCATATTGAGCTTCCCAATAGATCATGATCTGAATTTGTTTGTGCTGCATAAGAAAGTCAAATTTGACTCTGCTTAATTATAGTTTAATTGCGTCATAAATTAAATTCTCTCCTTTTAATCTTGTCCAAGCAAGCCCCACTACTAAACGGCAGGCCTGAACAAGTCATACGCCACAATAGAACAGTGGCCTGACTCATTCGCCAATTTCTGCTGTCTCAATGCAACAAAGAATTGCATGTATGATTCTCAGTTTCTCACTTACTTTCCCAACAAAAGAAAGCTGAGAATTGTATGGTTGGTTTCAATAATTGAATGGGCGTGAAGAAGCATTCAAAAGAAGAATATAAATGGAAGCTAAAGCTAAGTCAGTCGTTAGGATGCAGCAGCAGGCGTCGACTTTGGTGCAACCAGCAGCAGCAATGAGCCCTTTTCTTCATATTCGAGAACAGAGACTGGAAAAATGCTGCTATATCCAATACTGGTCTTTCAATATTTTACTCTTTTCTTTTCTTTTCTTCCCTTTTACAGAAAGTTAGGAAGCAAAATATCAGTTGAGTTGGGAATCCCGGTCAAAGTCTTCGTCTCTGATATGTTCTCTCGGTAGAAGATATATTACCCTATCTCTTTTCAATAACTCGAATGATTGAATGTAATTAGTATTCGAGTACTCCTTTTTCATGTTAAAATATATAATATGAACATATATCTCTTTAATTTATGAGTTTCCTCGATAAATTGTTCAATATTTTCTTTATAACAATATCTAAACATACTATGAGAAGAAAACTATCGTCATGACTTGTCACACATTAAATTGTGAGCCAAAACATAGAATTTCATGATACTCATCGAAACCCATATAATCAAAAGTCAAAACTGATGGGGTTGAAATTGTGTAATCTATAGTAGAAACATATATGTTTAGACTTGGAGTGCAAGAGATATATTTAGAGACTAACGATGGACGACCAGTCGGTCACTGCAGGGAGCCAAAAGTCAGCCCTCCCACGTACGTCTAATCTAAGGTGCCTTAGTTGAAAGTGTGAACACATGACTCATTTGGAACTAATCTAATGCACAAATATTATTTATATATGCAGATTGATTAGTCTTGAAATTTTATGATGCGATATTAAGTGCAAATCAGATGAAGATTTGATATATAACATCAAGGAAAGGAAAGCAAAGCAAAGGAGAGGTCAAGTCAACCTACAATTCTCTTCTCTCACATGCATCTCCATTCAGAGCAGTTACAGAACCCCAAAGAAAACGACAAAAGTAGTAGAAGAAGGAAGGAAGGAAACCGTGGAAGCTTGATGATGAAGGAACCTCTGCCAATACTAGTAGGGGTGGAAATCGGTACAGTATCGGTATCCCAATACCAAATACTGAAATCTCGAATACCGAATTATATCCTAAAATCAATACCAATCTCAATCCTAAATATTTCGTTATCCCAATCGGTATTATGAAATATGAAATTATTTACCTTGGCAATTAATATTTAAATATATAAATTAGATTTGATTGTTTAATTTAGGGCAAATAGACTAAGCAAAGAGTCTTGAGTTTGCCTAGACCTAGGATATGGAAAACAAGAATGGAGGAGAGGTGATATCTCAAATTCTTGATATTTGGTAATCTTTAATTGGACGAATGGGAGGTTGAGAGACGACTAATACTAGTGTTTGCCTTTTGGTGTTATGAAAATAACAAGAGATTAGGCGAGAGAAAAAAGTGACTTAAAATGGAAAGTCACAATTGAGTTAGATAGGAGCTTCTAAGTTGTGAAAGTGATGACGTAAAAATGGGTAAATTAGTAAAATAACAAATTTGAGTGCAAATATCACACTAACAATACCACTACTTATAATCCATCGAAACATGATATTTGGTGATCTTATCAATATGCCTGCCTAACTCGAAAAGAGTTGGTGACGGGAACAAACATGAGTCAAAATTTCAGCAAATGAAGTGAAGTCGAACAAAACAAAACAAAACTCGATGGAGCAAAACAGGATTGGTGTTGGTGTGTCTTCCTAAAGAAAATGAAATGAGGTTTTCTGGCGCCGTAGTTTCGCAGCAACTTCCAAGGGGGCAGAGACAGAGATAGAGAAAGAGTGAGGGGCGGGAATTGTCAAAAGAAAGAGTGGACTGGACGGACAACTTTTACTTTGACCAACTACAATACAATTAATGACTCAGACTTACTCACTACATCTCCTTCTCCTTCTCCTTCTCCTCTCATCAATCAATCAAATTGAGATCGCATTCCTTCCTTCCTTCCTATAAATCCAAACCCACCCCAACTTTATTCCTTTCCAACAGAAACACACAACCCACAATCACCCGTCCCGTCCCCATATATATAATTTATTTATATTTATTTAATTCCCCCATCCCATCTTAACCCACCGGCGGCCGGTTGGTAGAACCACATACCATGAACAGCGGCACTACTGTTGCGGCGCCGGCGGCCTACGGTGACGACCAACACGCTTATCATCATAACCATTATGATCAGTGGGTTCAAAACAACGGTGGCGGGAGTAGTGATACTAATACTAGTCTTTCCACCAATACTGCTAAAAAGCCCATAAGGAGGAGGTCTCGGGTGTCAAAGAAGACCCCGATCACGCTCCTCAACGCCGATCCGGCCAGCTTCCGATCCCTAGTCCAGCAGTTCACCGGCTGCCCGCATCCCAGGCCCACCTCCTCCATTTCCTTCGACCAGACCGCGCCGCTCCACGCCCACGGCCCGCTCAACTTGGACTTCCAGCTCGGCACGGTCCAGCCCACTATTATGCAGCAGCAGCAGCGGAGGAGCTACTCACCTGATTATGATTACCATAATAATAATAATCCTCATATTAATGCCGCTGCGCTTAGTGGCGGCGATGATCGCAGCATGGGGACAACTAGTACTAGTGCTACTAATTACGCCGATGATTATGAAGACGGCGATACGATTATGAGGATGGGGGGACATAATAATAATCTGGACATGGTGCAGGAGTTGTTGATGGTTGACCAACACCACGACTTTGGCTTCTTCCAGTGAGCTATATATGACCATCACGATCACTAATACTATACCTACCCTCCCCCTTCCCCTTCCCCTTCCCCCTTTTTTTTTTTTTTTTTTTTTGCTCTAGTGAATTTCTCCTCTCCTGCAACTATATGTGTAGTCAGTAGTAGTATCAGTTGGTTCATCTTTTCTTACTTCCTTTTTTCTTTTTTTGGCAGAACTTCTTTCCTACTTCTTTTTAGTGGCAAGTTTGTGTAGGATATATATATGTATGTAATAAATGAGAGGAGTACACATATACATGATAAGCCTCCGACTGGATTGACTAGTTTACTCCACATCCTAGAGTCAAGTGGGTGCAACATAAGTACTACTCATCAAGTGCATCATATTGTGAGTTTCTTTTTCCATTTATGAAAATGGAATATTTGTTAAACTTCATCGGTTCTACTTATTGTACTATGGTATTAATGATATTACAGATTACAGAGCATCCCAAATATTATAAATTGGTTTGAAGTTATAAATCAACTTGAATTTTGCACAAACCCACCATATTTTGTGTTTAGCTGCAACTTTTGGTGAACTGTGAACCTGAAATCTAAATGATATATGGTAGATTGTTGGAAATCAAAGTACACAAAAGTTAAATAATCTAACTAATAAAAATGATAAATAGCTTAAAACCATGATAAAGTAATTTTTTTTTTGAATTCTGCTCAATTGAAGTTAATTTTGTCAATTACTAAAATGGAAGGGTAAATTTTTGTCTAATAAGAAAGATAACAATACTAACATATAAAAATCAAAATAACTAAAAATATAAGTATTAAAAACACTTGTGAGGCCGTCATTCAAATATTTTGACTCATCGATAAGAAAATTGTATTTTTTCTCAAAAACATGAGAAAGCGAATTTTGGAACAACTAGTGGAGGCAACATTTAGTTGTTTCCGAAAATAGTATGAATCTACCACTTTCTGTTTTCAAGGTTGGAAACCAGAAAAAAAAAAGAGCGAAAAGTAAACAAATTTTCACATTTTTGTTGCCAAATTTCATAAATGAAAATAGAAGGCTAAATTGCAAGTTTGGTCACTTGAATTACTAGTAAAGTTCACGCTAGCCATTAGAATTACTTTATTCCATCCTGTAGTCACTTAAATTAGGTTAACAGTTCAAGTTTGGTCACTGACCGTTAGTCTGCGTTAACTTTTGCTGATGTGGCGGTCAACGTTAAATGAGTGACATGACAATTAAAAAAATTAAATTATTTTTTATTTTTCAGTTAATTATTATAAATTAAAAAAGAAAATCCTAATTCCTCTAATTATTATTTTCCACCCGCCACAAACTTTGCAATTCTACTACCCACTGTCCTCCAAAACTCCGATTCCTCCGCAACCTCCTCTCCGGCTCCAATTCTTTTGTTTTTATTCCTAGCGGATACAATCGACATTACATTCTAAGGCTTTCTAGACAACAACACGTACAAGAAATTGGAGTATTATATATTATTCAGTATCTATCAGGTCATCATTATGTGGCGTGGAATTATATTGCTTCCACACCGAGATCGAACTAGCGATTAGCTGATCCATAGAGCCCTCGAGCTACCTTCTTCTTCTGATTCTTAATTCACCCCTGCTCCTCCCTGGATGCCTGGACAGCAATCGGTAACAGTACAGATAATCTCTTGCCGCAACGCAACGCAACACCTTATATATTGAGATCACATGCACATAGAACGAATTTACGGCCCCTTTCAGTTCAGCGCATCCACCTGCAATTCATCTTCCCAACTAGCTGCCTAATTTCCACTCTCCTCAACTCTCCCTCTTTCTCCCCTACTCTAACTTTCTTCCATTTTGGTTGATGCCAATTTTAGAGACAGCAAATTAATTAACAACAACAATATAATGGAGGTGTCAAGTAAAGTAATGAAGATCAAGACATCCCTCCCTATGCCCATCAACACCTCCTAAGGCGGACCGATCTCACGGGCACTTCATCCATCCACCACCACCACCATCTCAATCCACCCGCCGCCACAGCCATCGCCGTGAACAACAACCACACACACCAACACCACCGCACTAAACCATCCTAGCTACTCGACGACCACCAACAAAACAAAAGAGGCGGCAGCAGCAGCAACGTGAGGTACCTGAAGAACCATGCATGCAGCCTAGCTCGACGGCTGCGGCAAGTTCATGCCTAGCAACTGTTAGAAGTTCAAGTAGCAAAATGTAATTAACCTGTTTAGTGTTTAATTACGTTAGCCTAAGTAGGGTTAGAGGGCTGGGTATATATGTGGAAAAGCCTCCTCTTCTGTAACCTAAGATTTTCGGCTATATCTCTATAACATAGACTCTGAGAGGTTGCTCCTCTCCGTGGATTAGTCTCAACGATATTCGTTGAGGATACCACGTAAATCTGGTGTCATTTACATTCTTGTGATTACGTTTAACATGGTATCAGAGCCTGGGCTCTAGAGATTGGCTATTTTCCAGTTTCGTTTTCTGTTCGTCAGACTTGTTCTTTGGCTGCGACGGGTTTGGTTTTCGCAGCGTTGGTTTGGTCTTGTGCAGCGTGGGTTTGCTTGTTGTGCTGTGTTGGCTTTTCTTTGGTTTGGCTAGCTGGGTATTTTCACTAGCTTTATTTGGCAGCTTGTGCGATTGGTATTGGTTTGCTAGCTTGCCTTTTGGCTGCTCGTGGGATTCTCTTGGTTCGGCAGGGGGTTTCCTTGCTCGCTTGGTTCGGTTGCAGGTGCTTATATTTTGTTCAGCATTGTAGTTCTTCGGCAGCAGTGCTTTTGATCATTATGGATGCTTCTAAGATGGATTCAGTTTCAGTTCGTTTTGATGGACGGAATTATGCCCTTTGGGAGCTTCACTTTCGTGTGTTTGTCCAAGGGCGTCGACTTCTCTCAGTTTTGGATGGTACTTTGGCTGAGCCTGATGATAAGACACCCGCCAAGGATCGAGATGACTGGGTAGCTCACAATGCTCAGATAATGGGGTGGATATTGGGCTCGGTGGATCCAGCTATAGCGCTCAGCTTGCGCGGTTTTTCTACCGCGAACGCCATGTGGACTCATCTTCGTGGGCTGCATACACAATCAAGTGCTTCTCGGAAGTTCGAGCTTGAGGTGGCTCTTGCTCAATTGTCCCAAGGTGATAGGGATGTCCGTGCTTACTACCAGGAGGCGGTTACTCTTTGGACTGAACTCGATTTAGTGACTGCCTCACTTGTCTCGGGTCCTGCCTCGGCTGAAATTATTCAAGAACGTGCGAGTTCTCGCCTAATGACTTTCTTGATGAAGCTTCGCCCGGAATTTGAAGGTATTCGCTCCTCACTCCTTCATCGCAATATTGCTACTCTTGAGGCTGTCCTAGGCGAGCTAATTAGGGAGGAGACAAGGCTGCGGAGTCAAGCAAAAATCGATCTGCACAGTCCGGATAATTCAGCTTCCGCGTTCTCAGTACGTGGGGATGGATTTTCAGCTGGGGATCCATCGGTATATGCTGTGGGTTCTGAAAGGCCACGATTTCATCGTACTCCCAGTGGTCCGGTGATTTGTTTTCATTGTAAAGAGCCCGGCCATATTAAGCTCCATTGCCCCAAGCGAAATGAGTGCAAATACTGCAAGGAAGCAGGTCATCAGATTGGGGCATGTCCAATACTCGCGAGAAAAGGACGGGCTCGGGCTGGGTCTTCCCATCGCGGGGCTGCTGCTGCTCCAGCCTATGCTGTGGCTCCTTTTCCTCCTGCACCTGCTGGTTTTACTCCGGATTCTATTCGGCAAATGCTTCAGGAAGTGGTTCGTGATGCTCTTCCATCCGCCTTAGGCTCAGTGTTCACAGCGGGTATGCCTTCTCGTTCTTCTCCCACTTGGCATCTAGATTCGGCTGCGTTTAACCATATGACTAGTTCTAGTTCCTCTTTTCGTCGCCTGCAATCAGTCCACTCGCCTCAGTTACAGGTGGCTGATGGGTCGTGTATTACTGCTAAGGGGATAGGGGTGATCGAACAGCCTGGGATATGTCTTCAGAACACTCTTTATGTGCCCAAACTTGTCCCTAATTTGGTTTCAGTTGGACAATTGGCAGAGTCTGGCTGTAGTATTACCTTTGATGACAATGGTTGTGTTGTGCAGGACAAGAGAACGGGGAAGGAGCTAGGACACGGGACTAAGGTTGGTCGAGTTTATCAGCTGGCGCGGTTCGATGGCTCTGATGGGCGGCTGGATTCGGGAGAGAGGGGTGCTCATGTGGACATGACGGTGGCTAGTTCTCCATCAGGGTTGTCATTGCCTCAGACTGTTGGGTTTTCTGTTAATTTGTCAAATTGGGATTTATGGCATCGACGTTTGGGCCATCCCCACTCGGCTCGGTTACTAGAGATGTTTAAGAATAAACTTTTGTCGGGTACTTTTGTTTCTGATTCTTCTCATCCGTGTACTCATTGTTTGGAGGCAAAACTTTCTCAGCACTCTTTTAGTTCGAGTACTACGACTTATTCTGAGCCATTTGAGTTGGTTCACACGGATTTGTGGGGTCCATCTACTGTTACTTCTCGTGTTGGATTTAGATACTTTGCTCTATTTATCGATCAGACTACTCGTTTTACTTGGGTATATTTTCTCCGTCAGAAGTCAGATCTTCTTGAGATAGCTAAAGAGTTTATTCAGATGATTCAAACCCAATTTGGGAAGACAGTAAAGGTGATTCGATCTGATCCTGGCGGGGAATTCTCATCTGGACCGTTGCAAGCGTTTTTTAAAGCGCACGGGATTCTTCCTCAACAGTCTTGTCCTGGTGTGTCCCAGCAAAATGGGTTGGTTGAGAGAAAGCATCGACATGTTTTAGAATTAACTCGGGCCCTTCTGTTCCAGTCTAACATTCCTACGACATTCTGGGTTGAAGCAGTGCACACTGTGGTGTACTTAATTACATTTTGCTACTTGAACTTCTAACACCCTCCCTCAAATTGATGGTGCTGGCGCAACATCAATTTGTGTGCGAGAAACCAATGACGAGAAGTAGCAACAGCCTTGGTTAACAAATCTGCCGTCTGATCTTCGGAGGTGATATAGGCTAAAGCCAGCTGACCCTCAGTAACTAGTTGACGAATGTAGTGAACATGAACTTCTAACACTTTTTGTTCCAGCTACGTATAAGCAGGCTCATGGAGACAAGAACTGGGATGATGCCATGGCTGTTGAGACTCAGGCCTTGGAGGCATCCCATACATGGGATATTGTTGATCGTCGTCCGGACATGTCTGTGATTGGCTCCAAGTGGGTGTACACAATTAAGATGCACCCGGATGGTTCGATTGAGCGATATCGTGCTCGTGTCGTGGCTCAAGGTTTCAAGCAAGAATTCGGCATTGACTATGAGGAGACATTTGCGCCTGTAGCTAAAATGCAGACGGTTCGGACATTGCTAGCCGTGGCGGCAATGAAGGGATGGAGTTTGAAACAGTTGGATGTCAAAAATGCGTTCTTGCATGGTGATTTAA